ACTTAACCCTATTAGTGGCAGGGGGGTTGTTTTCATCCACCCCTCAGGTTTTTCGGGAATAGTTATCTCCGAAACCGCTGAAGCTACGATGCTGAAATTTTCTGACTTTTCCTAAAACTAAATTGGGCACATTCCCTGAAAATTTCAAGTTCATAACTTTACCAGGTGCGGCTCCAGAGCACTGGGAATTGGGGGGGGGGGTCCTATTCGTGAAGCGAGTCATTTGGGCGAAGATCACGATGCTGATGTATTATAACTGTATGCACCAGTTTTACGAACAGTGAATGAAAGGTATCATGTGATAGCATATACAAACTTATTGTGCATCCTCTTTTGACACGTTTTTGCTTTAATAGGCGGATCCAGGCGTCCAAAAAGGGGGGGGTTATGTTTTACCTCCCAACATAGGTGCCCTGACACCGCCTATGCATGACCAATACAATTGTAGTCGTTCTCTCATAAGAAAATTGTAACATAACAAGACCATTGTCACCCTTTTTAGAAACAGTACCAACAAAATCCTTATTTACTATACTTTTTGTGTACCCCCAATCTCAATGATCTGTATCCGCCTATGATTTTTGAAAATGCATATTTTTGGGATCCATGTGAATTCCTGGTTCATTCTCTATCGATCGGCAATAGTTGCGTTAAGATTGGTTCAGAAACCTGGCCGTGATAAACAGTCTAAAATGTATCTGCAATTTGCCCGTTTTTACCCCCCCCCCCCCCTCTACCCCCCTATTGACGTTTTTTAATTTTTATTTTTTAGAAATGTAGATCACGTTGAGCGAAATCAAATACCGTTTGAATTTTGAAAATCGGCCCGTTAGATCTCGACAAAGAAATGTTTGTGATAATTTATGTGATGTGATGTTTGTGATAAGTGTTTGTGATAAGTAAATAATTTTTTTTTTGTCTTCTACATTGTTCTTTCTTTCGTTTGATAATGGTCTGTTGGCCGAAATATCAAGTAAATAAAAGGATAGCTTTGCATTAATTTTGGTATTGACTCGAGGAATTAGGTCAATGTTTTTCTTTCATATAACTGTATCAATCATGTTCCTCGCCAGAGCACTGGCAAACATTAGAACTGATGCAGTGCTCTGATTACGAGCGAGCGAGCGCAGCGGGCGAGCGAGTTCATACTAAATCCTGAGTATGAGCGGCCGTGGGGACGCTCTTCAAAAGCTAATATCTTAGGAACGGGACATCCGATTGACAAGCGGTCTTCTTTACTGAATGTCATTTGGACGTAAAAGTTCTGTGGTGTGATGGCCACCATGCGTTCTTGCCAACCACCGCACGTGGCGCGTGGTAAAGTTGGACATTTTTTAAGAACCCCAAAATTGCAACCTCAATAACGGCACAACGGTTGGGCCGATTGAATTGAAACTCGGTACACAGTTAGGTCTCCATCAGATAATTCATCTGCATGTGTTAAGGTTGGGGTGCTACAGCACGTGCGCACGTGCAGGGGGCGCTCCCAGATCTCGAGAACGGCTGGGCCGATTGCGCTCAAATTTGGTACACGGCAGGGCACTAAAGAGGTACACGGTTGGGGACCAGTTAGTAGGGTGCCGTGCAAAAGTCAGTTTGGACCCCGCTTGCGCGTGCGCACGTGCAGAATGCCGCTTCCAGATCTCAGGAACGGCTGGGCCGATTGCGTTCAAATTTGGCACACCGCTAGCGACCAGTTAGAAGGGTGCTTTGCACAAGCCCGTTGGAAGTGCCCTCTCGCCCTTGCGCACGTGCAGGGCTCACAATCTCGCTCGCTCGTTCTTCGCCCAAAAGGCGTTTTACTGGTTATACTTGAATCCAAGGCCCTAAATACACTTGAATCTTGATTTGTATAGTGGCTAAGTCGTTGGCATGTCCGTAAGAACGTCAAATAGGTTTCTTGTTTGTCTTGCTTTAAACTGTCAACTTTTCAAGCAATCAACTTTTGCATTATAGTTAGGGTAGCCTGGGGCAAGACGCCCCAGATAATTTATTTTGCTACGTAAATTTTGTCCCACATCACCTGAAAGGCCAAATTTGTGCTCAATGCGTTCTTTGGACATTTTACTTTAAATTGCACCCCTCAAATTGATTCACTTATGATCGGACTCCAAGCTAGGAAGTGATTTGTGAAGCAACTGCAAATGGGGCATTTTGCCCCAACCCCAGGGCAAAACGCCCCACGGCCTGGGGCAAGTAGCCCCATACCTTAGATTAAAGATTTAACATGGTAGTTGGCTAAATCTTATGTGAGAGGTCCGTTAGACCTCTGGAGGCACGGCACTGAAGTTAGCACATTCCATCCTTTCAGGTGCTCAGCATATGACACTGTTGTATGAGCAGGTTTTTCACCTACCTCATAAGACCAAATAATAAATTATTGCAATGCAAATGTTAACAAAATACTTCCTTTGCCATCCAGTTGCTGAGAAAAATACACATAAAGGCATAGAAACTTACTGTTCGCCAGCTACCGAACATTAGAAAGTGGGTAGCCCCAACAACACAAGAGGTAAAACGCCCCAGGGGCTTTTTGCCCCGCGACCTTCTGGGGCGTTTTACCCCATCACGTAGTTCGGTCAGAGAACAACGCCTTGCACTCCAGTAAGACATAATTTAACACGAACCAACCCGGCATGATAAGCGTCAGACAATAGTTGTTCAAAATACATAAAAGTCGTTAACCTAATGTGGACCATAAAAGAACGCCATGATTCATAATCTGACAACAAAACATAAAAATCACTCAAAAAACACATTTTTAGCTATATCTCCCGAAAGAGTCATCACAATTTCTTTCCAGTCTGCTCATATAATGATCATATAGTGCACGTTTTATAGAAGAGATGATGTTTCCCCAGAACCCTGCCAGTTCCGAGAAACATCGGTGAGGCGTTTTACCTCGGCGGGGCGACTTGCCCCGGTCTACCCTACATATGTTCAGATTTGGCACCTATCTGGGAGAGCGATAAAGTTTGGTCACTTTCCATAGGATAACATTGCAGCCATCCGACCCTTCGTACCAGTGACGTCACGGAGATCCTTGCTTGGGCCTAACGAGCATACCTCCTATACAGGACCTTTGGGGCCTTTGGTATTGGCACGTATGCCCATATAATGTCCGGTACCACCTCTCTGGGTCCGGCGGGCTGCAAAAAAAAAAAAAAAACACGTAACAGTAAAACCAGGAGCGCAAGCGTTCTTGTTGAGCAGCTTATCAGTTGTATCAGCCTCAGACCGGTATATTTCAAAAAATTATATCATTGCTTCAACGGACATCACGGACAGATAACACCCGTTCAACATAAAGCATAAATATCACACACATTCATAAATATAAAGAAGCGGGTGCAATAATCCCACTGACCACTCATGGGCTGGTACATTTCATAGCCTCACTATCGTCACTTCTCACTTGCCGTAAGCAGGACTCGGAGCTCCGTACGACTCCTCAGGCTTGGGAGCGGGGCCATACGAAGTGGACGGCTCGTAGGCGGGAGCAGGCTTGTAAGACGGCTTGTAGACGGGAGCAGGCTTGTAAGAGGGAGCGGGCTTGTAAGGAGCAGGCTCATAAGAGGGCGCGGGCTTGTAAGGAGCAGGCTCATACGAAGGAGCAGGCTTGTAGGCAGGAGCAGGTTTGTACGTAGGGGCAGGCTTGTAAGATGTAGCAGGCTTGTACGGAGCGGGCTCATACGAGGGGGCAGGCTTGTAGGCAGGAGCGGGTTTGTAGACGGGAGCAGGCTTGTAGGTGGGAGTGGGCCGGTAAGAAGGAGCGGGCTTGGGCTGGTAAGACGGGGCCGGCTTGTAAGAGGGAGCTGGCTGATACGACGGTGCGGGACGGTAGGACGGCGCCGGAGAGTAGCTACCGCTGTGCTCGGGGTACTGGGCCTCGCCCTCGTAGGTGACCTCGGCGTTATATCCGCCGTAGCCCTCGTTGTCGGCCGTGTACGTGACGTGCTGGACTCGGCCGTCGGGCAGGTTCACCGAGTAGGAGCCCTGCACCACCTTGGTGTCGCTGTTCTCGTTCTGCGAGAACACGGTGCCCGTGTAGTGGTCGTTGACGGCGTACTCGAACTGGTACGGCTGCGCGTAATACTGAGGCTCCTGGTACGACGCGGCGTAGGAGGGCCTCTGGGCGTAGGACGGTGCCGGCTTGTAGGCGGGCTCAGGCCTATAGGCGGGCTTGGGGCTGTAAGCCGGCTTAGGTCTGTAGGCGGGCTCCGGAGGGCTGTAGGCAGGCGGTGGCGGAGCTCCGTAGGACTGGCCGCGGACGCTGGCAGCCACCGACAGCACGGCGGCAACAACAAACACCTGGAACACATGAACCGGATTAGTATAAAGAATTCACAGCATTTTTCTTTGTGTTGCGTGAACAGAAACTTATGCATCGCCTAGAGCTTAACGCCAGTGAACCATACGCGCAAGACAGTTATATCTCCCTTCAAACCCGTGGTTGGTCACCCGCTGGCCGCTAAGTCTCGACACTCCACTGTTCCACCATCCTACCTTCATCTTGTCCGTGTGTGTGCTCCTCAGGTCTGTGTTCTTGCGTCGCCGGATCTGCGGAGCGACTGATGCTCTGTGCCGGCGCGGTGCGCCTTTTGTACGGCGTGTGGGCCGGGCGGGGTCAGCCAGCCAGCCTGCGCCCTGCGGCCACGGCGTGAATGGGGCCGCTCCCTACTCTCAGCTCGGCGCGCTATCACTGCCGTTTAGTGTCTTGAAAAAGATATGACATCATTTCAACATATTACATAAAACAGTTTTCGTACATTGTAAGCTTTTACTCACTCATCTCATATCTTCATTAGTTCATTCAATCAATGACCAAAATAGAATAATTTTTCATTATTTTATCATGCCGTCAAGTCCTCTCTTTTCATGACTTAAAGGTATTATCAGGGTTTTTTCCGAAATTTCGGAGTTACTCAGTGAAACGTGTAGATGAAGGTGGCTGAGGCCCCGATCCGAAGTCATTCGTCTCAAAATTGCCTAATTTCCAAATGGTGGGCCTCCAAAGTTGATCCGTCTGCCAGCCAGTACCTGGAGGAGGCAGTACCAAGTACTCGGATACATTTCCCTATAAGTCCATAGGCTTAACACTAGCTAGAGACTTCTAGAGATATTTTGTATGCCAGATAAGGCCGTCGCATACCAGATAAGGCCGCAACGGCCGTTCAACGTTACGTGGGGAAATTGGAGAAATCTAAAGACTTTTTTCTCTCTGACGTCTCCACTCCGCAACTGGCAAGCGTTGTTAGCATTGGCTCGTGTCGTCGTAAATAAGATTTGTTTGACGGATATTCCGTTAGTTGAGTGTGTTGTAATTTCTGAGGCTGTATGAGTTGGACGGAATGGCGCCATCCCGCCAAGTGCGAAATCGGCGGTGTAGTTTGAAGGGTTGTGGAAAAACAAAGGCTGATTGTCATTTGTCCCGATCTCAACTTCTTCCATGTTCCGAAAAACCGTGTCAAGTAAGTCCAATTTGATATGCTGGAGATTGCGGGGCAGGCACTAAGTGAAAAACAGTTGCATATTTTACGAAATTGTATTAATATATGTTTTTATGTCAAACATGCACAAATGTAATGATCAAATGTTTGAAGTGTTTGAAGTGTTTGAACACACAAATGTTTGAAGTGTTACTCATACATCAAACAGTAAGGCGTACGAGTAAATTGTGTGGATGAAGTCTGAGTGGTCCGAGGAAAAAAAAAACAAGCGAACTTGACCTAAGTCCTAATATTACCTATTACCTAATAACCTACTAAACTACAGCCTCCCACGAACCTACAACCTACATGCTTCAGCTTACAACCTACAACCTACAACCTACAACTCGGAGTTCATCTACACATATAACTTAAGTACTCAATGTACTATCTGTGGTTACTTGTTATCTGTTACTTGTACTGGAATGGCAAGCCTTGCAATTTTCCCAGACCTTTGATCACAAAGTCATGCTGTTTTTAGGAGACTTGGTTGGGTGGCTGTCCTAGAAGATGGCTTGGCGGACAAGCAGGTTGACGAAGCACTTGTGTGTAACTGCCACTTCAACCCTCAAGATCTTTTGCTTGGAGAAAGGGCTAGAACGTCACCACATGCCGTACCGTCAATAGCAGTCGTGGAAGGTGGGTTTGGCATTTCCTTTGTAATTGAACTGGTTTTTAGCACAACTTGTAAAAGTGGCACGAACATTGTTACATTGAACACTTGATGTGATGTAGAACCTGATAGCTGATGTTGAGTCTTGCAAATTGTATGAACAGCAGCTGGTGCATTGAGCCTGACAAGTGACGTTGGCACCCTAGTAGTCTCGTGTTTGAGTGTGGTCACCTAAAAAACTTGTGTGTAACCAACCATAAAGTTTTTAAATATAATTTTGGGATAATATTGATGTGGTGTGTTTTGGTCATATGGCTTGGATGGTGACTACCACTAATTAAGGAATGCTTCTTCACGACAATCTCCAGTCTCCTGAAGCACCATCATCTATATTTTCTTCCCAGGGATTCATCCCTGAATCACAATCATTACCTAGGCCAGATAACTTTGCTGGGCCACATGGTCAAAACAGTTGCAGCTACAGGGTAGATATACCAGCTGTACATGTATTTGACAGACTAAACATTCTTTCTGTACATCTGGACAGGTAAACTTGATAGGCGGCCGGCGCGCGCCCATCGGCACCGGCGGCCGGCGCGCGACCATCCCATCGGCACCGGCGGCGGGCGCGCGCCCATCGGCACCGGCGGCCGGTGCGCGCCCATCCCATCGGCACCGGCGGCCGGCGCGCGACCATCCCATCGGCACCGGCGCCCATCCCATCGGCACCGGCGGCCAGCGCGCGCCCATCGGGCACCGTCGGCGGGCGCGCGTCCATCGGCACCGGCGGCCAGCGCGCCCATCCCATCAGCACCGGCGGCGGGCGCGCGCCCATCGGCACCGGCGGCCGGCGCGCGACCATCCCATCGGCACCGGCGGCGAGCGCGCGCCCATCCCATCGGCACCGGCGGCGGGCGCGCGCACATCGGGCACCGTCGGCGGGCGCGCGTCCATCGGCACCGGCGGCCAGCGCGCCCATCCCATCAGCACCGGCGGCGGGCGCGCGCCCATCGGCACCGGCGGCCGGTGCGCGCCCATCCCATCGGCACCGGCGGCAGGCGCGCGACCATCCCATCGGCACCGGCGGCGAGCGTGCGCCCATCCCATCGGCACCGGCGGCGGGCGCGCGCCCATCGGCACCGGCGGCCGGTGCGTGCCCATCCCATCGGCACCGGCGGCGGGCGCGCGCACATCGGCACCGGCGGCCAGCGCGTGCCCATCGGGCACCGGCGGCGGGCGCGCGTCCATCGGCAGCGGCGGCCGGCGCGCGCCCATCGCCGGTGCGCACGCGCGCGCCCATTGCAGAGAGAGGTGATGTGATTGACCCTGTTGGCCCCCCCTCCCCCACCCTCTGACCCGCCCGCGCGCCCCGACAGGTCGTCGTGTAGCGCGGCGCTCCGCCAGCTGCTGTGCTGGGGTTGGCGGCGCTCAGCAGCTACCAGCTGATGCAGCGCGCCGTGCTCGCTCGCCGCGGCGCAGTGTTTATAGCGCGTGCGCCGGGCGCTGACGGCAGTCGTCTGGCAGCGACAGCTCTGCCGGTGACGGCACACGCTGCTGCTGCAAAACTGGACAAGGGCCTGCTTGGGCTCCTGGTCCTGGATCGGTACGCCGGCTCAGTCACCTGATGACGGCGGCGCACAGCGTGACCTACCCGCCCTACAGCCGGCCCAGCAGGGTGAGTAGTGAACTGAGTACTGAGTAGCGCTCAGAGTTAGCTTGAAGTTGTTTAACATGATGCACTGTTCTTCATGAGTCGTCCCCATCGCTGCTTGTGACTTGCAAGTTCCTTCTTTTTCGGCAGTGCGTCCCAGCAGCGATTTTCACCTCTGAGATGTATAGTTGCCGTACTAGTGAAAAAGTGTATATCTTTGAAATAAACATTCCGTTTCATCTGCCCACTACCACTAACGCCCCTCTGCCCTCTCCTGCAGCGGACGGGGAGACCCACCTGACCGCTCCTTCCCCCTGTTCTGCTGCAGGCGGGGAGGCCCGCCCTGACCTTCTTTTCTACCCTCTGCCCTCTCCCGCAGCGGACGGAGAGGCCCGCCCGGGCCCAGTGCCGCACGGAGAGGCGGTGGCGCTGGAGGCCAACACCCCGGCTCGCGACCTGTAGCTGACGGTGCTGGAGCCGCGAGTCACCGTGTTGGCTGGCCATGGAGACTTGGAAAAGGTGGGTCTCCGCGCAGCGGAGGAAGGGGCGGCGGCTGACAGTGGTGGCCGCCAACGGGGAGCTGGGCGGCGTGGGTCCATGCATAGCGGGGATGTTCGAAAGGACAGCATCAGCTGCATTGTTTGAAGAGCTGCTGCAGTTGGGCGTTGAGATACGATCGCAGACTTGCAAGGAGATGGGCTCCTGAGATGCGTGCTTTTTTTTTGCTCCGATGATCCGGCTGATCGCTGTTCTATGAGGTCGTATTACCCGCCCGCGGTCACCAGGCCGGGGAGGTATATACGTCTACAGCAGCTGTGTTATTTGTCTGTCCCGGTTGTATCACCCAGTCTTCCCCCGTCCTCAGGCCGGTGAGGTGCGTCTCCAGCTGCGCTGTCAGACGATCCAGTGGAACGAGCAGCAGCCCATGTACCCGTCCCGGCTGTGCCGGTGTGTCTCCCAGCTTGAGCAGCGCCGGCCGACCGCTGCGCTGCTCTACAACTGCCACGTCCACACACGATGCACGGTCAGTCATTATACCGAGTAATGCTAATTATAACCGCGGGTGTTTTGTTAGAATGGCCCTGAGAGTGTGCCTTTGTTGTGTGATTATTGTTGAGTGCGTTTTCTAGTTGTGAAGTACACTGTGGTAGGCTCGACATTACTACTCATTAGAAGTGGCGGGAACACTGCCCCAATGCCCTATTGTCGATTGGAAATGAATAACTACAGCCGCGGCTCCTGACTGTATCCCTTTTCCCCGTGCGCCCTATCGCAGGTGACGGCTGACCAGGCGGTGCTGGTCTCGACCGCGGCCGACGGCCAGCCCGCCCAGGAGCACCAGGTCGCCTCGCTCTCCTCAGCCTCGGTCTACTGGAAGGCGCTGCTGGCGCCGGCCCTGTGGGCCGGCTCCCAGCACCCGCTCACAGAGCAGGTGTGCCACGCCGACTGGCTGCACTGCGCCGACGACCGGGGGACCGCCGGCGCTGAGCCGGCCGGCTCGCAGCTGGACCTGCCACTAGAGACGGACCTGTGCGACCTGGACGTGCGGCTGTGTCAGACCGGCTGGTGCTGGGCCGGCGCCGCCCGGTGCGCTGTCAGCTGGACGGCCGGCCCGTGCTGGCCGCGCCCCAGGCGGCCGACGCGCCGGCTCCCGGCGGCGGCGGCGAGCGGGCGGTACGGGCGCTGCTGCAGCTGCCGACAGCTGCCGCCGCCGCGGACAGCTGCCCGCTGCTGGTGGTCGTCTCCGAGCCGGCCCTGCTCTGCTGGCAGCCGGCACTGCTGCTCTGGCTGTCCCTGGCCACTCAGCTGGCCAGCAGCTGAGTGGCCCGGCGCCGCCGCCACTACCCCAGCCGCCCGAGCCGCCGCCGCCGCCGCCGCCATGGATGTGCCCCGGCCGCAAGGACACTCGGGTACCTCGCGATCGGCACGGAGCCACACCACGGAGAGGAACCTACCCGCAGTGTCACCCAACACCTCCGCTGCGGCGGCCGTCTCCCCCACTCCGCCGGCGCCGCCCGCCGCTCCGACTTTGGCCTGGCTGCCGGCCCTGGAGCGTCTGGAGGTGCGCCTTCAGATCAGCGCGGTCACCGTCACCGTTCCGGCCGGTCCAGAGAGCGGCGGCGGGGCGGCCGGGGACGCGGAGCGGACGGCGGACCCGCTCCCGGCCGCGGCCGGCCACCACCCGGCGCCGGTACCGGGCCGGGTCCGCAGCAGCAGCGACTCGGGCCACCGGTACTGCCTGCACGGACAGCTGGTCTCTGTGCTGCCGTCAGTCCGACTGGACAGCGCTGCGCTCAAATCGGCCGCCCTGCCGACAGTGCCGGAGGTGCCCGTCCGACTCACCAGACCTTCAGCGGCCGCAGGTCAGTCGCGGCCGCCGCACGGCCAGCTCATACCGGCCGCTGAGGAGGGCTTTTCCATAAAACTCTCAGTGCTAGTGATTTTGGCATTGGCATGGGGGCGGGTATTGGTACTCACTACTCACCCTGCTGGGGCCGGCTGTAGGGCGGGTAGGTCACGCTGCGCGCCGCCGTCAACAGGTGACTGAGCCGGTGTACCGATCCAGGACCTCAATTATGATTATAAGTAAAACGGGATGTAGGGATGAAGTCAGCTTGTGCTCAAGACTGACGTCATGACAATCGACACGTGAATATAACGGGCATGTTTGCTCCTTGCTGTCGTGCGGGCGTTCGAATCTCTCCCAGTTTGTTGGCCCGTGTCTCTCTCCCGTCCCCCGGGTCTCTCCGCCGGCTGACTCCGCTCTGTCTGTTCCAGCCGGCTCCCAGCTGCGCTTGCCGAGCCAGACGCAGCAGGTGATGTCGCCGTCGGTCGTGGTGCGCGACTGTGCGTCCATCCCGTGTCCAACGCCCCCCCCCCCCCCCACACCGCGCGCTGCTGCCGGGCCCGCCGTCGTAGTTTTATGGCCTTGCGCCGTCAGTCGCCAGCTGGTGGTGGCGACCCGTGATCGCTCGCGTACGTTCGCCGGCGCGCCCATTGCAGAGAAGGGGTTCGCGCATGCCCATTGTAGAGGGGCGCGCCCCTTGCGGAGGCGGTACGCGCTACGCTGTAGACAGTAATGCTTGTTGGGTAGCCCCTTTGCACATTGTTTGTTCATGGATGTAAATACAAGTTACATGACTGATGAGTGTAATGCTTACATTTTTGAACTAAGAAATGCCACAGGGCAGGTTACCTTGGTGAGTTTCTGATATCAACATACTGAACATAAGAGCAGAATAATTATCCATAGAGCGTTAAGGATTTTAGCCACCGAATTCACCAGTCAGTAATTGCACATGGTGGCACCATGAGCATGAGTACCTCGCCTTGTCCGATCCTTTTCACAACTAGCAAGTAGAATGTGGGAAAAGGCAGGGAACTTCAAAGCATGCGCATATGTAGATAGCTGATGATTCTCTCTGTTCAAGCACGATCTGGCACTCTGCAGTCTGTTCTGTTCCACATGAGTTGCCGGGACAGCATCACACATGAATTTCTGCATGCTTCAAACAGAAATGCCTTAATTTTCCTTAAAATATATTCATTTTTCACACAAAGACAACAAAAATGTACATGCAGGTGGGTACTGTGGCAAGAAATTACATACAAATGTATTTTGCCATGTAGGTACCCTCCTTTCACATCACAATCATCAATCATAATTAAGAGCACCAAGACGTTCTTTGCGACTTGCGAGCCCAGCCGTGTCAGACCAGCTGATGCAGGGGCTCTGTCACAGGGGGCACAAGGCCCAGTGGTTATGTCACAGCACAATGTTGTACAACCTGCTATTCAAGAACACTTAAATCTTGAAAAACCTGTAGCTCTCTTGTCACCTCACTTTTCGCACTCTTGACAAATCACTAATCAGTCAGATCAAGACTGAAAATTGAAGAGGATAAGCTCTTTTGTGGGATGTACTTGCAGTTTCAATTCAATGACATAAATTACTCGAAATTACCATTTAAATTGTACTGTACCATGACGAATCTACCATTGAAAGAAAATTCTATCATGACCCTGCTATAAAAACCTGAAACAAGCTCCAATTGCATATGATAAATTTGGCGATGTTTATAAATCTTGCTGCCTTAGACAAGCAAATCTTCAATTTGTTTCAATTTCAGTCGAGTTCTTCACCAAAAATCCATCGTATATCGACAACCAATGCCTATCACCGAAATCTTGTAGAAATCCTCAATCCCGCAAAATTTCGCAAGGCCGCTCTTTGTTTACATTATAGTGATGGGCCAATCTGACCGTTCAAGTACTTGTTTTGCGGGAGTAAGTACATTTTTGTCGTTTTTCAAACGGCTATAACTTGCAAAGTATAGCATCAATAGGCATTTTATGTATATCGTTGAAATCGGCAGAGTCTGGAGACTTACCTGATAGGCAATACATTCCGATTCCTTTCAATTTTTAAACCCTGATAATCCCTTTAATCAAGCGCAAAATGGAAGTAATTTATGTAAACATTTCGTTTTCAATAGTCAGATGATCAACATAAGCTATCACTTATCAGCCATGTTTGTAGCACCCGATTGGCTGCAGCAGTTTGGTAATAGAAGGTTAATGGAGCTTTGATAGTAGGGCGGGAGTGTTAAGGTTCTATTCGCGTGTTATGCACAGTGGCCAGGGGAGCAGAATTATACTTTTGTAATTATGTTTAAGATAGCAAGTGTAGTATGCTACAGTCGATCCTGATTTTAAAAACTAATAATATTTGTCAATGTGCGTTTCTTTCATAATCCCGCGCGGTGCAGATGGTCTGAATTTTCAATGGAGTGCTGCGTTGGGAGCGTTTTCACGCCCCCGTCTAATTCAGCTTCTGGGCCACGGACGACACACGCTAAGTGGCATTCGAAAAAGCGTCAGAAATAATGACGAAAGTACCTATAGATATAATTTTAGGTCAGGTCAAATGTAAGGTCACCAGAGGTAATCAAAGGTCGAATTTCGCCTATTTTGACAATTGTCAATAAATTCACAGATATCTCGGGAACAAATAGATATATAATGCCGCGGTAAAAGCATTCCATAGCTCTTTTAGGTTCCTTCTAAACCTCGCCGGCACAGGCCATTTTGCGTCCTTCGACGGCACAAGGGGGGGTTGGTACGATCCCCCCCTCGCGTTTGGCCCCTGATCGAGCTAGAGCTTCGCAGAAAAAACGAGCGTGCTGCCCGTCACGAGAGGAAGCCGATGATACCCAATTTTAAGGTCCTAGGTCATCGGGTGACCTTCCAGGTCAGGTCAATGACCCGAAAACCGGGAAAATCGGGACCTGTTAGAAAGTCGTAAAGTGTGGCTGCTATGTGGTTTTGCGGGGTGCTGATCACGAATATCGTGTCAGTTTTGATCAGAGATGATGTCTTCAAGCATTTAGACCAGGTCGGGTCAGGTCAGGTCAGGTCAACCGGTAGGGGTTGTGACGGGTATTCGTAATACGTGTCAACCGCCTCTGACAGCTTCGTAACATGTTACGAAGGCACCAAAACTACTTCGTAAATGTTCAAATGGTTGCTAAATTCGAATTGAGCTCCAAAAACTAGCCTAGAAACATGTAAAACTCGAAAAAGTGAACCGAGGTCACCCGAGGTCACCAAAGGTCAATGACCTGACCTGACCTTCAGGTGACCTTGACACCCACCCAAATGTATGGGAGCAACATCAAATCACATGTTTGAACGTTTGAAACCACGAAAAGCTTGCAAACGCGCGGCTAATGCGAGCCTACATACGCCGAATCGCGATTCCGGCCAAATATGGTCTCAGAAAAGAGGTCACAGGTCAAAGGTCATTTGGGTCAGGGTCATGAAATTTTCAGGGTAGGTGTAAAATTGATCAATGCGAGGGTATTGAAAGTTTCGTCGCGATCGGCCGCATTTTACGCGAGTTATTCGCGAAAAACCTTAGGGGGTTGCATCAACCCCCCTGTGCCGGCGAGGGCTAAGGCTTGTCCCATATCTGACCTACGATCAACGGCTTTGCCTCCAGGACATAAACAAAGCTTAAGCATTTTCCGGAAAGCTGTTCTGAAAATAACTTTTGACTCGTAACTGGCACGACATTAATTTTACCGGCATCGTGTTCCTCTTGTCGAGACGCGTCCAATGAACTATAATTTGACCTTAAAGGGACCCTCCCACCTTAACATTAGATTTGAGTTGAGATAGCCAAAATGGGGTCCCTGGCTCACAATTACCGGTTTCGGCACTCACAACATCGAGAAATGCCTTAAATCGGAAATATTGAATTTCAAAATTGCAGCATTTTGATTCAGAGGGGCTAATGTTAGGAATACCCCTCTGAATGTGTGACGTCATCGCAGATATCTACCGATTTTTAAATGTTTGACTAAAACGTTTTGTAGCACGCGGTGGTATAGGCTGCTTTGCGCGCAACAAATGCCGCACTTTCAAATAAAGTCGCTAGGAACAGCGGAGATCCCAAAAAGTAAACAAAAGTAAAAGTATAATATCTTGAAAACCGGTGAATATTTTTCGATGAAATTTGGTAGATATTCATTTTTGCTCTTTCTGAACCGAGCGACATCACTTTCATGCCAATTCATTAACTTTTTTGAAGGTGGGAGGGTCCCTTTAACCCGCGCCCTGGTGGGGTCTGTTTATAACGCGACCTGGTGGGGGCATTTTTTGCCCCCTCGTATCTCCGAAACTACTAAACGGATCCGCAAAATTCAAACGGCATTCAAAAGCCCTGTCAAATTTGTTGAAATAAACCAAATTACATTGACCTCGGGGTCACCGATGACGTCACAGGTCAGGTCAAAGATAAAATGTTTTGCCGGTCACGGGTCTTCTAGAGTATGCGCTATAACATCGAGTAAAACGCATTTTATCGAAAATCAGCGATAAGGCGTCAGTTGCTTAGTACATATGTTGCTATTAGAGGTTACTGATAATACCAGGTCAGGTCACAGGTCAGGTCACCAAGGGTCAGCACATTAACCCAATTTCACTAGGGCTGTGTGATGCATGTTTTATGGCCAATTTTTCATTTCAAACTCAATTGTGTTGGTTATAAGAACATCAGGAACGGTGTAGATCACTTCCTGGTGGAGGTCAGGTCAATGTCATGTCAAAAAAGGTCAAATTTTAAAGTTGATATTTTTGCATGAAATGGGTATCGAATCGATGCAGCTCGTCACGGCGAGTCTAATGGTGGTCTTTGTTTTGCGCTACGTGGTCTAGCATTGCTAAAAATTTAATTTTAAAATTTTACGTCATCAATTTGAACAGTTTTTCGCTATAGCTTGGCCAAAAAAAAGAGTTATCGATCTAAAAGTTAGTAGGTATGTGAATAGAAGTCGGTAGGGGCTATCACATATATTCCAGGTTTTTTTCGAAAATCGAAAAACTTTTTGGATTTGTCGGCAAATATATTGAAAAAAAAAATATTTTTTTTTTATTTTTAGGGGTCAAAATTCGAAAACTTCAAAATTTCGAGATAGCAGTTTTGTAGCCCTAATAATACTACACCTTGTATGTCCTGAAAGTTTTTCTGTATCTTCAAAGCTATAGGCCTGACAGCTCTTCCCGCGAAACCTTTTTTGGGCCGAAAACGGCAGAACATGATGTCACTCTGACGTCATTTGTGGACAACCTATCATAGCCTTCGGAAAAAATTGATCACAATGTGCAAAATTGATGCCCGAGAGGGTACTGAAATTTTGGTGATTATTGGCGCAGCGGTTCTGGAGATATATCGAAAAGTCTGGAGGGGGCAAAAAATAGCCCCCCCCCCACCAGGGCCCGGGTTAAAAGGTCATTTTAAACGCTTGACTATAGGTCAATGCAATAATTCATGACTCATGACCTGAACGAAAAGGTCATAACGTATACCAATCGATCCGTATCGTCGAAGTAAACACCTACAAAATACTTTCGTTGGCTATAGGGGAAGCGGGGGGAACACCGCCACTGTGGGAAACACCGCCACCCCATCTGGCGGCGAAAGTATGAACTATAAAGTGTAAAAATCCGTTATTTCCTGTTAACCGCACGAAGGTAAGCGTCTTCTGATTTGTGTTCCGGTGTTTCAGTGTAATCGAAGCTCATTGTGGGCATTTAAAGAAAAATGCACATTCTCTTATAAAAATTCGATGAGTTGGGAGCACTT